CCTGCAAATTTACTCAGAAATCGGATGTGTATTCATTTGGTATCATCATGTATTTGATTGCTACTGGTGAACCACCACTTAGAGATTGGTCTTTTGACAAATGTTTGGTGATACGTGTTTGTGAGGGACTGCGACCGTCGATGCATGATTCTGCGCCAGAGGAATACAAGAAACTTGCCGAGCGGTGTTGTGATGCTGATCCTGATAAGCGTCCTGATGCTGAGACACTTTGGCTCGATATTGACAAGCTTATTGAAGAAGTGGGAAAGGATAAATCTGATGACAATGTGTGGAATACTATCTATCATACTGATGTAAAGCCATTATCACGTCTCGAGAAAGAGAGTAAATATTCCAGCACATTCTTACCGACTGGAGCTTTGCCCGTACCAAGAAATAGTTATAATTTGGATTCAGCTGCAGGTACGTTACATGTTGATACAAATTAAAGTAAACTTACAATATTAACATCGTCCTATTGTCTAATAATTTAGTGACACAAACGCTCTTGTAATTCGCGGTTTATTTACTGTTTTTACGAGTTTTACTCAAGGAATTCACTTCTCTTCCAATTATATATATTAAATGTGTCAACATAAGTTGCACGTTTACTGTTAAGCTTTTTTTTCCAGGGTAGACTATTTGGATATATAATATAGTGCCATTATTTAAATTTTATGATACTGAATAAAAATGCGTAACTACATTCTGGCCAGTTTAAGCTTTTCAGTTGGTTTCGCGTTTCCTAGCATTGTTTTTATACCTCTCCCAAAACAATCCATGCAGTCGCAAAATTATCTTTATCGTGATTGCTTTAATTTGACATTAGATAATAGTATTTAAAACGCAATAGCTGCTTTGTGACTAGAGTGCAAGAATCCTGTAGATAAAAGTTATCCCAAGCCTTCTTGAAATCTTCCGATTGAATAAAATGTCTGGCACTTTTGTAAGAACCAAAACCTTGATTCATTCCACTGCTCATCGATGGTATCACCACTCTTTTAATGCTATTGTAGCCAAGTTAACAACGCAAATGAAACTATGTATGTCAAGACCGCAAATAACATTGATTTGCCTATCCAAACTTTTGGCCGAGTCTGAGCAAAGATTAGCTAGTTCTCAGTATGGCTTTCAAGTTAACAGAATGCGTAATAAGGTGTACCATCATTGAGTGTGTTTGTACCGAATGATTTTCTTATCAAGATTTCGAATTGTTTGTTATATCGCTAATATAAACTATAAATTCCACTGTCACAATAGTCCATTACATTAACGTTACGGGATTTTGCAAAAGTGAAATAAACAAAAGATGATAATTATTGTCTGTTTATATTTATTTTCGCAATCTTGACTACCCAGTTTGCTAAAAAAAACCAAGTCTATATCGGGTGATTGACAGTGATTACGCGTATTTGAATAATTTCCACATTGGCTACTTAATCTGCACTGCGAGAGAAAAGATTCCGTAAACGAGAGAGTTTTTTTCCTGGAATGATGTCCAAAGAGTCAAAAAAACGCAAGCTGCAGGACTTAGAAGAGACGTGCACAAGTTTTCGAAAGTCTCATTTTCTGAGGAAGTTCGTATTGATAAGATCATAGAGTTAATGAAAATTTTAGCCGCGAAAGATTGTAACCAAGTAGTTGAATCAGACAAAGTTCTCTCCATTTTGTTCGATAGTTTCGCAACCGGAACGTATCGTATTAAAAACTCCTCACCATTGTTTATTCTTGTCACGTATAATAATAAGCTTTCTCTAACTTTTTGAATTTCTAGATCATAGGATTTTTCGGCACTCGAAAATGATAATGTCGATTCCTTATTGCATTTGGAGAATAAAGGCCGTCTTGTGTTTGAAGATTTCGTAAAAATGGTTCCTTCTCAACATTTCTTAACAACTCTGACGAAGTTACAGAGACGTTGGAACATCAGCGTGCGTATTCGTTCTCGAAGATGATTCTGAATACCAGTCTCACATCATAATGAATGATATCTTGATGCTTTTGATAGTTGGAAGCCGGTTGTCATTCATTAATAGATGCTTACATTCTGGAAGCCGTTGAATTTGATCCGGACAAGAAGGAGGAAAAGACATATGATGAAACTACGGATAGACTTGCCGTTTATCCAGAGTATTATGTAAAACCTGTTCGAATCAGCGACGACTTGCAATTGACTGGTCCTATCGATTACATCACCGCTAACAGGAAGGAACGGGTTTTCGGTAAGTATGTCATATATTATTTGCGCTAAGACACGGGATTATTTCTGATTGTCTTTCAGATAAATTGAAGCAAGGAACAAGTATTGTGGCATCGCCTACATTTTGCACTATTGAGGCAAAAGAGATGAGGCGTTTCTCTGCAGGTGAAGGAGAGGTATTGGGACAAATGCTGGCCTCCGCAAAAAATGCGGGTCTGTTCGTCGTTTAAAATAAAGTCCTAATTTCTAGTTTCTTCACTAACAATATGGCCTGTAAATCTCCAATCCACGGCTGCTTGACAGATGGAATGCGTTGGACGTTCTACTATGTTGACGAGGAAGGTTACTACCGAAGCAAGATTTATACAGTTGAAGTAGAACAGGGTGTAGTACTTGGTATTTTGCGACATTGGGTTCGCGGCCAACTGCCTTCTTCAAACTTCTCAAAAGGAACAAGGAAAGTCTTTAAATAAATAGCAACTTTGCACAGAGTAGAGCTGTGTCATCAAATCTTGGTTAGCCTTTCATGGATAATAAGTTACAACATATAAAATGAATAAGTAAAAGGTTTTCGAAGGTTCAAAATTTGTTTCGAAGCATCTAATTCTGGTGTTATAAGAGTCAGAAATTATGAATGGACCATTTGTAAGATTTAAATCTTAAACACTGGGAATGTTTTTACAATCATATTCTTTTTTTGAGATGAATTTTTCTTTCTAGTTTCTGACTGCTCTCGTTATTAATTTCATAGATAATTCTTTTATTTAAATATCTTTAAATTGTTCTTGCCATCAAGCTTGAAGCATAATGATAATTATAAGGTGTACTTGTTCTTTTTCAAAATGCTTCTGATAGTGTTGTAATTCTTGGGTTCCATGGTGGATTTAATGTAAATTAGTTTCATGTTAATATTTTTTTTATATCCTATTAATATTAATTCTGTTATGGTTTATATTCACCACATTCTGGTATGATAAAGTGAACATTAAATTTAACAAGTCCATAAGTTATGAATGAGCATCATTATTATTATTACTTTTCATGATTTAAAATTTTTGTCAGTAGTTGTTATTGTAACATTACGTGTCTTTTTTTACCGTTCTCCTCCAAACTATAACCATTTAAGACGGTTAATAAGTGATTCTTAGTTAACAGTTTATTATATTACATCGATCTCGACAGTGAACATTATTCAATGTACAATTTATTATCAAACGTTTATTGCCTGTTCAAATAACGCGAATACGTATAACTTATATTGATTAGCAAACTTGTACGTTAAACATTTAACAGTCGACTTATCAAGAACCAATTCGTGCTAGACAAGAAGCATCAATTCGTCGCGCTTACTTTGAGATAAAAATGGTCAACAAGTGCTTACAAATCAACTATTACTATAGTCTTACGAATCAGAGACATGTTTCAATCGAGAACATTCGACCATTGCGGATTACGGTTACAAAAACGCCCAAGTATCGGCTTTCACTATCAAGCATGATTTTGGTTATCATAATAATTCCGAGAAAAAACTCCCTATTAAGGTGATCCTTTAAGCAATGAGCCAAATTTATTGGAGCAGAAGGGCGGAGCTTATTTCCTTTAAGAACGAAATGATGATCATCTCCAATCAAGTTCTAGATGAATGGTGTCATTTTTGGCATTAGTAGTACTTTATAAGAGAAAAAAACATTATTAATATGCCTCGAATTATTTGCGACAGCATTAGAGAATGGCGACGGTATTCACACGTATACTAAAAAGTGGGGAAATACTCGGAAGAGGAGCAGCACGAAAGCTCGAAAATGGAAGCGTGCTTGGACTTATAAACACTAGAACTAGCGGCATACGATGTTTGTATCTAATACGATCGTTGAGCCACTGCAATTTGATCTAGATCAGACCTTAATTATAAAATTAATCCAACATTCATTCTATTTCTGACAGTTCTTCACAAATCTCAAAATAATGCGAACGCCACGATTTCCCCCGAAACGCCTGCTACGTCCCTTCCGCCGTCTCTCTCTTCCACAGAGGCATCAAATACACTGTCTGGCTCCAACACCCCACTCGCTTTTCCATGCATAGATCATTTGACTGCGCGGACGCTCGAACTGTCACTCGAGTCCGGTGGTCCAGAACCTTCGTATGAAAAGGTTGTCACCGGTTATGAATTATTCCATTACGATAAACCGTTTTTATGTGATTATGGAGGAATTCTGCCATCATTCAAGTTGGCTTATGAAACGTGGGGAACATTAAACGAGAAGAAAGATAATGTGATTTTGTTACATACAGGATTGAGTGCTAGTAGTCATGCAAAAAGTCACGTAAAAAATGAACATAGTGGTTGGTGGGAAAAGTTTATAGGTGAGTAGATGAGTTCCCAAGGAAGAACCGCGTTTATATACCATTTCGAGAATTTATGATGAACGCAGAAGGAACGTGACGCGAAATAACGATTGATTAACGTTTTACGTTATTGATTCTGCATTGAAAATTAGGTCCTGGTGCATCCTTGGATACAAACAAGTTTTTTATAATATGCACTAATGTCCTTGGCGGCTGTTATGGCTCTACAGGACCGTCTTCTCTTGATCCAGCCGACAACGAACGTTACGCCACAAGATTTCCCATAATTACCATGTTTGATATGGTACGCGCGCAGTTTCATTTGTTGGATCACCTTGGAATTGACAAGTTGCATGCTAGTGTTGGTAGTAGTATGGGTGGAATGCAATCGTTGGTAGCTGGCGCGTTGTATCCCGAGAGAGTAGGGAGGTTGATCAGTATCAGTGCTTGCGCTAGGAGCCATCCCTATAGTATTGCCCTGAGACATACACAAAGACAAGGTAAGATTATCACAAAAAAAAAAAGGGGATGGAAGGCTACATGTGTAAAGAGTTCGAGAACGTGAAAAAGAATGGTTTTTGAATTGTGAAGAGAGATCGATTCTTACAGATTTACAATCCGATAGTCTTAATGTCGGATCCAAATTGGAAGAAAGGATTTTATTATTCGTCCGTACCGCCACATATTGGAATGAAACTTGCTCGCGAAATTGCAACGATAACGTGAGTGGGGATGTTAATAACGTCAACTTACAATTTCTGATATTAGTCGGTCGACAACATGTTGAAATGTATTGTTCTTTCTATTAGATATCGATCGGGTCCTGAATGGGAACGACGATTCGGTCGCAAGCGAGCACTAGAAGATCAAACACCAGCACTGTGTCCAGACTTTTTGATCGAGACGTATCTTGATTATCAGGTACGGAAGCTGGCTAACATTCAATTTTTGCTTTCCTGTATAATTGATATATATTTTATTTTATTAGGGAGAGAAATTCTGTTTGCAATACGATCCAAACTCCCTGCTATACATTTCAAAAGCGATGGATCTCTTTGACATGTCAGCATCAGCGCTCGAACGCCTTGGTAAATTAAGACAACAAAACCAAGCCGCTTACTCGTCCTCATCTACACTTCAACCTAATGCTCAATCCGACCAACAATGCTATTTTCATAGCCCAACAACGGTTGCTTCATCGTCATCATCAACCGACTCGCAGAATCAACAATACATTTCATCACTTGCTAGTGCTGGTGCCGACGACGTTGAAGACTTGATACAAGGTTTATCCACAATCAAGATACCGTCTCTTGTGTTGGGTGTACAAAGCGACAGCTTATTCCCGTATTGGCAGCAAAAGGAAATTGCAGAATGTCTGAAAAGGGGTGGAAATAAGGATGTTACGTATTATGAACTAGATTCATTGTATGGACACGATACATTCTTGATTGATTTGACTACTGTTGGAAGTGCTGTCAAAGGACATTTGGAGTTGGGTGGATGAACAATTCTGAGAGAACAAGAGATGAACATTGGTAGCGAAGTACATTGGAAGTAGGTTTTTATGATAATGAATAAGAAATACATTAAGATTTTAAACTCAATCGACAAAGAATTAAAAAGTTAATAACAACGGCCGTGTTCCTCCGAGCACGGTCTTCCACGATTTAATAAACATATTGTCATTTACAAGATATTCTTGGTCATGTATTGAGTGTCCACATACACCTTTAATTATTTATACCAACAGAATTGAAATTCTTTAATAATTTCATGGCTTAGCATCCTGTCCTTTTAAAATTTGCAAACCTACAATCAATCCATCATTTGCTTACAGCCTTTGTAGAGAATTAAGTTCAGCCATTACTATGCTTTAAGGATGAATATAATAGTCTATGCGGAAGGCAGATTTTGTCCAGAGTCAATTAATCGCGACACAATTATAATATCTGGCTGAACTAGCACAACTAACAAGTAGGACCATTCAATAAAAGATTCATCACCAAATCACAGATACTATAAGTTAGCAATACTGTATACCTTCACTTGAAAATTTAAAAATTTGGGTCAAATGTAGACAATTATTCTTTGATTGTAAAATACTATCCTAGTCTGATTAATGAAATTGCCTCATTTCACATTGGCATTCACGTAATATTAACATTGCATTACAGTAATAAATTTACTTCAACTTCAGTAATGTACACGTGTATGAGAAAAAACGATTAATCAAGGCATGAGTAGGTAACACCAAAACCTTCAAGACTAGGCGTCGTTATCTGATGGATCAGATCGTGAGTCACATGTAAAATCTTCTTCTCAACTGCGCTGTTACGTAATTATGTCGTTGCTGTAACAGGGTAAAAAAAATCATTTTTGATGTGCAGAATTTAGGTGTCAAAAACGCCAACTTGACATACTAATACAATTATCATATTAATGTGTCATTATTTAATCAAGTGCACTGAACGACATTCGTTTTTTACATACAATTTCTGACAGATTACTTGTTACGTGGTAAAGTGTGCTATCTGATGGCAAATTCGGTTTAATCTCCTTTTGACCCACAACAATCTTTATTTGACGTTGCCTTCACAGTCGCTTCTATTCACTAGCAAAGATTCGTATACTTAAAATCGATGGTTGTTAACTTGGAAATAGCACTAACATATGTGGCGCCCAACAGTTTTGAATTCATGACAAATGTTTATTTGTTAAAATAAATTGCACTAACCCGAAATTACGATTCGATAAACAAAAGTGTCATTAATATGATCAATGGTTTCCCATGCCCCGATGTTATATAATCCCACTTTGACCGAATTTCAGACCCGCGCAACCGTGAGCAAACAAAATGTCAGCGATTGTATATGATCCAACGGAGCTGGAACTCGATCGTCTCTTTGATCAATTTATCCGCGATCTGGGAACGACACGACGCGGCAGAAGGCAAGGTGGTGGTCAACGCAAATATGTTCCATCCATTGATCTTTATGAACAAGATAATGAATATATCGTGACCGCCGAGTTACCCGTAAGCAACGAAAAAAATCAGTTATCGATTAGTATTGTTTTTCAGTATTCTCGTTTCATCTCCTGAAATATTGTAGGGTCTTGACAAAAACGATATAAACGTGGAAGTTCGTGAAAACTCTCTCATACTTTCAGGCGAAGCTAAACGACATGAAAAATACGCTCAAAACAAAGCTCACATCCAAGAACGACGTTGGGGTCGTTTCTCTCGTACTATTGATCTGCCAAAGGAGATAAAAAGCACAGCAATAGAGGCGAAATATAAGGACGGAGTTTTAGAACTAACTATTCCCAAGAGTGAAGCCGCCCAGCCCAAGAAGATCAAAATCGGCTAATTTATATTCCATATATGGCATGTTGCCGAGTTTTTCTCAGTAATTTCGTTTTAAAAAAGAAAGCATAGCATCACCTAACTTTCAGTTTGGGTATTATAATTAATCGTTGCAATAAAAAATAAGTTTCGACAAAAAGTGCTTTATCGTTTGATAGTTTGTTGTTTTGCTAACGCAAGTAACAAATGCATAATTTATTGACTTGTCAAATGCAAGTAAAGGACCACTGTGTCAGTTTACTTGATTTACAATACGGTATATCGTCGAATTGTCATCTTTAACAATGGTGTGTTCACGCGTCGAGAGCGTTCGGATTATTGTACGTTTGTCAAAAAACTAGTGTTTATTGTAGGAAATATCGTCATTTTGTGACATTAAACTTTGCGATTCATTTGTCCAACTAGACGCAAATGCACAGACACAACGGAAAAATTCACAAGTTACTGTAATTACCTTTTGCGTCTCAAATAGTTCATATTGTCGTTCGCGTAAAGTTGCATTCTTTTGACTTTACATATTCGATAACTTTATTAAAAAAGGGCCTATGCTGGGGCTTTCTGCGCAAAATTGTTCTCGAATCCATTAATAATATCTTTAGTAGCTCTCACGTCGTTAGACTTAAATCTCGCCATACTTTTTCTGAACTCTTACTCATTTGTTCAAGGAGAGTTTCTATCTTCGAAGCCTTACACAGTCTATATAGAGTTTGGCTGACCGACGCATGCAATTTACAGATCCTATACGACTTTTCAGAGAGACGTGATTATGAGAAAAGCGTGCGTATTATGAAAGAGGATTACGCTGTCTATTGATCAAAATTCAAAGATGATTCTAGAATCAGCATAATTTATAGCTCCCGGTGCATTACAATATCCTTTTCGGTTGAGTACGACTATTACGCTACTTGTGTACGGTAATATATACGAATACTCAAATACTCCTGCGGGGCATCTTAATTTGGAAGAAATGGCGGTAGACGTCAGCATGCATTACTGTATATTAATGACCAAAATGAGCGCGCGCGAATTTCTAAAGCCTGGTGTAGAAGAGCTTTGCGAAGAGAACTCCAAAGCATGGGTCGGACATTAAATGCCCCAATACTCGATGGGTCTCAAGACGCTTTGACTTACATCACGTGCAAAAATTACACCACGATCAAAAACCAAAACATACGAGTTGTACTGCCAAGGAGTTCATGCTCCAGAAATTATGGACTGACCTATCAGCAATAAAAATTGTTGAGAAAAGTTAATGCCAACAAAATCTTGATGCGGGGAAGAGTTTATGGCGGAGGCGAAAACATATTAATGCAGCAACGTTGTGATACTATCGAGTGTTTACAAATAGCGTTACTGACGTCAAACAACCGTCGTTGTTCCATCGTTCTCAGAATTGGTATAAATTTTTGTCTTTGTAATACTCGGGGGGAAAACGATGATGATAATTTGGTAATTAATGTAAACTAGTGAATGGTTTTTTTTAAATCAATTAAACTGTTTGCCGTGAAAAGTCAATTCCTCAAGTTTCTTGGTGCTTATATAAAAAAATACAACATATTATTGTTCTAGCACTAGTGACAACTTCAAAAATTTGATATCGTACTGCACAGACTTAAAATGCAACAAAGTTTAGTCTATGAATTAAGACATGGCTCCTAATACTAACCACGTGCTCTCTATAAAAATTATTTCCCGGATCGGTAAAATCCATAAAAATTCGATATTTCAGAATCATTTATTATTATGTTCACGTGCATGTAGAAAATTTAATAAATTTTGTATTATTCGGTTGTGCGTTATAGACAATTTTGACGATAACGATACAAATTATTAATGGGCAAAAACATTACATTGCTGCTTTATAATGTCATTTTTCACAACTAACACAATCGGTCAGCTTAAAAACCACTAACAAACAGGTGAGCAAAAAAGGACTATCGAAGGAATGTAATTTTGAGCAAATTTTAGCAATGTTTTTTCACTGCCCCCCCATTTATACATACCAATAGAGTTTTGCCTCCAACACAACAATTATGCCCAATATCATTGTTAGAAAAACATCAATAGTAATAGACATATCCATATACGATTTTTGATCGGCATGTTGGTACCACCCCAAAAATTGAATAGGCAAGGTATACCTGTTTATAGTTCAATGTCGCATAATTATTTCCATCTGATTCAGAACACGAAAGTCAGGGGGAGGTTATTATTATACGCAATCACAGGATGATGTCATTTATTGAAACGTTACAACTATTACATGTTCACATACTAAAAGATTAGCATCTATGAGGCAATCGTACTCGTGCAGAAACAACCAACAATTTCACGCCATTATTTTAAAGAGTCCATTTGCATAATAATAATGCATAATGTCATTTATTTGATCTTGCCAAGTCAGATTAACCAAACAAGTATAAACACATCACCAAAAAAAGTAAACATCTCCTCAACAGATTCCATCTATAAGCGGCATCCATACAAATGGAATAGTTTTTATAAAAATTTCTCTCATTGATATCCAAATCTATAAGCCAAGCCGAGATGTAATATATAATATATGTAGTATGTAGTCGATCAGCAATTTAAGCTAAATCATATATCTTACACAAGTAGGTTTTTTTTATTATCAACAGTAAATTTAGTTCACCCGGAAAGAAAAATATTCGACATTTTTGTAGAAAAAAAAAAGAAAATCCCAAACAAAACTATTATCACAAGAGGAAACGGATGTAAAAAAAATAAAAAAATTTTTTTTTCACATTCGTAAAGGCGAACTGCAATCTATCAAGGCAATAGAGGCGTTTCTTCCGTTGCCGTGCAGACATCACGTTTACAGATTGGACACTGCAAGCCAAAAAAATGACGTTAATAGCCAGCCACACAATAACTACACATTGCTTTGATGCATCCCAAAATACTTACAAATCCTTTTTGCCTCGTCAACCAACTATCGATACACGCAACATGGAATTCGTGCTTACAAGGCATGATTCGGAGCTCATCTTTATCTTGATAATCCTCCAGACAGATACAACATTCCGTAGGATCATTTTCCTGTCTCCTAGACGCATAGTAGATTTTAATAGGAAGATTACAAACAACTTGACGCGGAGCAATGTCTTGTCTTCGTCTCTGTCGTCGGCGGATACGCCAAACGATGTAGATGAATATCATCATTATAGTCGGAGAAAGAACGACCACAATAATGACATCTAATAGTGGTCTGTAAAGTGAGTGGTTAGAGGAGGGTGGTTTCAAAAGAAAGTATGTCAAGTCTTATCAGTAAATATAAACATCTTGCGAAACGTGAGCCCATAATGAAGAAATGCTTACTGCAAAATATCGTCTTTTGTAAGCTTTATTAAAACACCTTCCTCCGTTTCTGTGAGTTGTGTCAACTTCTGATAGTCATCTTGTCCAACAAAGACGGAAGGTATTTGTACATCTCGCGTATCCCCTGGAAAGAAAAATGATGCTAGATTGGTATATACAAGTCAAAAACAAACCCGGTAGATATTGAAAGCAATAAATGAAAAAGCGTTTTGCTATCCTTACAAACGCAAGAAAGAAGGGGCTATATAGATACTCATGTATCATAATACAAATGCCAAGCATAACCTTGCAACGTTTAATTCTCAGATATACATCTTTCTTTTTTTATTTTCCACCACTCTCGACCCCCCCCCCCTTCTCCCACAACACACACACACACACACACACACACTCTCTCTCTCTCTCTCTCTCTCTCAATCTCTTATTTTACTCACCGGTAGCGTACATAGTAATCAAAGTCTTATGTATAGGATCCCCAACAACGACTGCAACAAATCCCTCAGCTTGCATGTTGCGCACCTTGTCGATGAATGAGCATTCACCTCGTTCGATAAGAATGATCAAATCTTTGCCGACGATTGGTTTTTTAAATCTTTCACAGCCCTTAACGTTGTTTTTATCAATGCTTGCTGCCGTTACCAGATGGCCTGTGAGGCCATCTTCGGTTAGGCGAGGGCCGAAGGCTGCTATACGATCTTGGAAGGTGACATTTGTAGCCTGAAAGCGGAATTATAGTGAGAATCGAGTGCGAGCGAAAAAAAAAAGATTTACAATAAAGTTACAAAATGTGAAGCAAATATGTAGAGAGGGAATGGCTATCAAGAGCGAGAAAAAAAAAAAGAAAGGAATTGGAGAGAGTCTAGAGTGATTGTGTCAGTCGGTCGTTTTTTACATTGGTGGGAAATTCTAACAAAGAACTCTTACAATTAATATGATCATTGTACTCACTCAAAATAACAAAATATCGCATACATCAAGAAAAAAAAAGTCATTACACAGACTAGAGCATTTCCCGGAGTTTGACAAAAAAATTGCGCTGATGCTATTCCACAACCCAATGCAGTGATGAACCAAATTATCTTACCACAATAACTATCGAGGCATCAGCAGCTCCGTTTCCAAAGTGTACCCAATGCGCGACAAACAGGCAGTGCGCCAACAACAGAAACAGTAAGAAACGATTAAACATTTGCTCTAAAGAATGCTACGCTCTTTGTTTCTTTGCAAGTATATTAATTATGCCTTAAAACTGTTCGTGAATTTAGTATTTCCGGGAACAGAATAAATTTAGTAAAACTTTTTTTTTCTTTCCGTTTCCAGGGATATAAACTAATGTCTGTCTATTGGCAACGACACACTGCTTTAATGCAGAAGAGAATAAAGGGTGGTCGATCTAATAAGTTGAGAGGAAAAAAACGCTTAATAAATTAACTACACAAAGGAGAAAGAAGTCCAACTTTAACAAAATGGGGGGAGGGGAAGGGCACGGGGGAAGTGGGGTGAGGGGGAGTGGAAGGGGGGGGGGGTTAGCTACGAATACAGAGAAGGAAGAAAGCAAGCCCGTCAACAGTTACCGAAAGTGAAATAAACAAATAAGTGCAAGAGTTGCGGAGATAGCGCCATGGAAAACGTCATCGCAATGGATGGGATTGCTCTGCGCATAGATAATAAAAATAATTACTAACGTGACCTCACACAAGATCCCTCTTTTCTAAACAAAGTGTGCAACGTTTCCATCACAGGCAACAGGTGATTTTGTAAACTCGGTGTAAAAGTGATGTGCGAGCATCGATTACTACTAGTCGGATGTTAGAACGAATAATGGTGTATATTTTGTACATGGCAAATGGTAAATAACAGAGGTAATAGAATAACAACGATAAAAATAGGAATAAGAATAAGAATGGCAACAGCAACAGCAACAGCAACAGCAACAACGACAACACCAACAATGAGAGCAGGTATCTCGTAAGCGTAAATGTTTAAATGTGGAGATTGGCTGGGGTGAGAAAATGGGGTGGGAATTGATAAACTTTATTTGTAAATGATCGTCGATCAGCTCATATTTTTTACTAATTACCTGTGGCGCAGTCAATTATCGATTTATATAATGACTTGTAAATAATTTTTAACCCTCAATGTAAGAATACGACTCCAAGTGATTACAACCCCAAATATTGCTAGTGTCCCTACTTTTTAATGAAAAACTTTTTGTAGTTTTTTTTTTTTATTTTCATGTGTAGAAGTTTCGTTCGACTGTTTTCAATCATGTGAAAATAATGCACGAAATACAAAGATTTTGAATATCAGTTGTGATACGATGCATACAGGTATGCTTTATAATTTCAGCAGCAATCGCACACTGGGCATGTTGTTATTTGCTGTCATTGAACCATCTTGGACAAGAGATACAATTACATGCATCAGGTTCTACGTAAACCTTGGTTTGTCCTCTTTTTCCCGATCGCCGTGTCTCTAAGCATTCGTAATGATAATCTTTCAAAGGAGTTGTGCTACTAGTTTCATCGACTTTTTTTCTACTCCAGATGTTCAAATCCCATACTCTAATTTTTTCGGACAATCCCTGGGCATTAATATTGAACATCTCGAAATCTTGTATTCCTTTTTTAGAATGTTGTAAACAATCATATTACGTAACTAATAAACGAACCGGACGTGTAGGGTGTTTATTACAACAGTAATATTTTGTGTGTGACGATTCTTTTATTAACATGGTCTGCAAAGCTTATTATGCGTCGAGAATCATGTAATGCTGTTATTATTTATTGCTTTTAACCTGATCAAGTTGTTTTTTTGCTAAAATAGGTTATCGAATACCGATACATGACCGTGATCCAAAATAGTATTGTCTTACCGTGTCGCTACTAGTACGTACGTATACCGTTCCTTTAAATGAATTTGTCATGTGCTATATATACACGATCCCAAATTAGTAATTTCCTGGAAAGAGCAAATCTTTAGTTGACTCTGCATGATCAATTTTTCTGGTACACTCATGACACATTTCGGGGGGGGGGGGGCATCAAAATAAACTTTCTACACTACATAACAAATAATCAAATGCAAAAACAATCATCTATTCAAGACCATTGTAGTGGGACAAGTGAAGATTCTCACGCATCTGATTCAACGGACCCTTCCATTGCCGTAATGTCATTCGCGTCTGTATCTGTAGGATGAGTAAATGTCATCTTACATTTGATTTCACATAGTAATAGGGAGTAGCAACGACAAATGTCTTGTCGATGTTAGATAGAGACCATAGAAGGACTGGCTCAAATTTGTTCATGGAAATGATTCCGAGTCATAAAGACACTACACCTATTAAATAAATTCAACCCCCAAGTAACGGGCACACTATGCATGACTGACTACTGTCATTTCAACGTAATATTTTATCCGCACATTTCATATGTTCCCGGCGTTTGTCCTTCTTCAACGAACCGTCCGTTGCCATAGGAATTACTTCCCTAGTTTTAGAACGTCGAAGTACGGCATATTCACATGAGAAGAAACTCTTAATAGAGAGTATTCTCATCAACGCTTTTACCATATACCCACTCAATTTCTTATTTAACGTGTCGTATGCAAATCTCGTCATCACGTAAATCCTATCACATGCAAGGTCCCCCCCCAAAATTTATGCATCACCATCATATTGATAAGTTTATTTTACAGCATCACATCGTATTTGACTAGTATCAGCCACTTGTACCAAGTTTAACTCATCAGTGCAATAAGTGACGTTCAGAATCCCAGAGACATGTCCCAACCGCTGTTTCGATGTACCGATCCGTAACTCTACAGATCCCATTCTGAAAAGTCTCTATTTATTTATTTATCCTTGAGAATTAAAGGTTCCATAGCATACAAATATTAATCTGCATAATGATAATTGAGCGTCTGTAACGCATGAATAATACGTTTCGTCGTACACTTGCAATCTGATCATACAACTTACGATTGCTAAATGTGTGGTCTGCCCGAAGATCAACCATTACGCCTTAATCATACGATTTTTAATCATAAACGATTTTCCGTAAGTGGCCGATCGAATGCGTCATCTGATTCTTTCAAACTTGATAACAGTGCGCCCAATGTTGGCGAAATGTTATGCCTATTGAAAATATAAAGTGTTAGGTTATCTTATCCGTCTTACTGAACGTGTAAATTCGGCCTTTATTTTGGAAAGACATGTTACAGGGCCAAAATTGAGTTTGACCTGTCACACAGCACACAATTACGTAAAGGATGAAAGATAACCTTCTCCAAATGCACACCCGCGATTTTCACTATACGTTACATTTATAAACGTGGTTGGTATGTCTGAAGTAAACTGAATTTCTACAAGCCGAGTGATTGTGATCGTTAAGCAGCCTCAAAATAAAGAATTTCCTGATCATTGTGCTTAACGAAATGTTAAGTTTAAAATTTGCGCGAGTGTAATGAAACAATAACAACAATAATGAATTTTTCAATAATATTTGACATCTTTTATCGAGCCACATAAAATGACGGGTGTAAGGTTGGGACCGGTTTAAAATATGTCGGTTGCAGTATCACCATCTCTCTGACAGTTTACTTATTAGTCTTAATGAGTTGTAAGAAGAATAAAGTCGGATAATGATCCGGATATTTCCCAAAGAAATATTAATAAACCGAATACTCATTAGTTCGATATGTATTTATGTGGTCGTTACTAACTATCTTAATATACAGTATACCTACATTTTAGTACTGGTACTAAATGAAGGGAGAGACAATTACAAGAAACTGTATTAAGTTTTTGACAAAGCTTTTTATTGGGTAGTCACAATCTCAAGTAAACCGCTGTCTTGAAAAAACCTTGGGGGTAATTATAATATTTGCATCTCAATTAGATTCGGTCCCATGTTTATTTCGAACAAGGTGTATTCTCAGCCTATTCCTCTACATTATTTCAACCATCGAAAATGATTAACAGCGTTTCATCGTTAGAGTGTGAAATCATTAACAAGTGATGTGATTTATGAAAGATCGTGCTACTACTACCGTGATGTAAAATTTCGGTGATAAATACTATAACGGGCGTGTCTCCCCCTGAACTTGGATTATCGATAAGCCTAGATTCTGGATTGCCACTTTCGTAAATTTGGCACGTGCAATTGCATATTAATATCAATAGATAACGATAAGATTAGATAATAATATTATTATTATCAGATATTAGACCAGTTTGTGTGATCGCCGGAAATGATGAATTTTATGGATTATCACGATAGTTTCAGTTATGGCAGGTGTAACTGACAAGAAAATTTAAATTCGGCGCGTCTGCAGAAATGAACATCTACGCGTAAAGAGCACGAGCTTCATTACGTGTGTCCATTTGACTGGAGATTGCCCAAGCTGACCCGGAGAAAATGCATGGTTACACTGGTGATACTAAGACTAGTTATTTCTCTGAAATGATACAAACTGTACAATGATTAAGATTTATGTGTTTTGATGAATGCCATTAAATTGTCCACGAAGGCCTTGTCTTGTTTGAACATGAAATCTTATAAAGTTGACGGTATCTCAATGGGATTGCAGATTACAAATCGTTAATTACATTAATATCACTCGTGAAGAACGTTCAGCTGGTTATTATCAATGAAACGAAAAATTTAATTTCGAAAGACAGTGTGTAGTATATGTGTTGAGATTTTTTTTCTTTCGACGTGTCGCGTATCGTCAGTTAAGAAGTGTAGTCAATTCGAGCGGCTTGACAATGCCGTGCGGTTGTCATCACATTTCACGTTGAAAATAATATCACTCATATCTTACAAATTTTATTGTCGCTGTAATAATAAAATCAAGCGTCTCTTTGATGAAACATCATACAAGAACTAAAAGAATGATCCGCATTGATGAAAAAGGTTTAAGTAAATAATATACAGAAAGTGTAGTTTATTAGCATAAAGTTATTGTCATTTCTCGCAGAAAAACGAACTATCGAAACTACCACTAAAAAATGAATTACTAGGTTGATATTATAAATACAAATTCGTAACTTCATAAACACATTCTCAGAGCAATCAGTTAAACAAGAGCGACATAATTAGCAGGAAACTAGCAAAGAAATGAATAAATGAAGTGAGACTCAAACACGACAATCACGGTTTGGAAAACAAACGATCATGCAAACACTTACAATCCCTTCCTGTCCGTTGACCCTTCCCGTCCACCAGTCATTCGTGCTTTCAGACTTCTTTAATATAGTGATAATGTCATCTTTTTGAAAACTCAAATCCCCGCTTTGCTCACCGGCAAAATCATACAATGCTACCGCCTCTAACTGTGGAGTCCGTTGAGGCATCTTTGGCTTGGGCGCCAATACTGGTTTATTCTGTCCTCCAACGCTATTGCTCCTGCCCATGTAAGACTGTTCGTCTGTAGGATAGGCTACGGGAGTGTACGGAGGAGGTTGGCTGTGTCGAATATTATTCCGTCCAGATTCTAAGTGCGGATTGTAAGGTGTAATAGCATGACTGTTGGGATTGTAAGATGTATTAGTATGACTGTTGGGATTGTAAGGTGTAATAGCATGACTGTTGGGATCGGGGCGTGCCGCGCGAGCAGTGAGTGCGCGATAGAGAACATCGGCTTGAGGTGGTGGAGCAATTTGTCCAGAAAGTAGCTCCTTGGCGGAAACTTTTCGGTGATAAAATTTGGAGTTTGCATCTTTGCGCTCAATTATTACTGAACCTTCGATCGATACCCCTTGACGTGTGAGAAAGGATTCAAAGAACGTCAATATCAATATAAAACAAAGTTAAAGACCGAACATGCGTGAAATAGGGACGCACTATGCGAGTAACGATCGCTTACCTGCAAAAAGACCTTTTGTTTTGCTATAGGAAAATATAGCAGCAACATGTCCTACGGAAACTGAACCTGCTCCTTCAGCATTTCTTCCAATTGGACCAGCAGCAACTGCACAATAAATAGACACATCAATTTACCATACGCACACGATCGAGATATTTCTATGACAATAAATAGGAATAATGTTTATGATACCTGACAGATTGCCACCTAATGTCACATTTCCTCCGTGCATAAATGATTTCACAGCATCGCGGCTATTTAGGACAATTACAAAGTCTGTAACTTCAGCTCCGATCTGACCCCCAAAACCCTGTTGAAAATAAAAAAGATTGTCAACGATAATGATAATCGGGAACGTTTGTAAAATACTCCTTCACTTACCATGCCACCCGTACCGATCGCAGAAGGCGCAGACCATGCTAAGTAAGGGTAACCAAAATATCAACAATCAGATACCACATTCACAATTTTCAAAAAAGCATCTCATTAATTGTAACCTATAACTTACATCCGTCTTCGAGTCTATTAATGTAAGAAGAAGAAGAAGAAGAAGAAGAAGAAAAGAAAAGCAGCGCAATAGTAAGCAAATAATATCGCACAGCGGTTAAAACACACAAATTGATTCACTATTTTGAAAGTCACGACATACCTTGCAACCACCAAACCCGAGCCAGCGCGACCGGAAAACAAGAAACCGGCTTTAATGACTGTAAATATAGCAAACCCCTTTGCTTTTTGCAAAATGTTGGGAGGAATAACCTTGTCCGGGCCCTGGTATTTGAAGAATATTAATCAAAAACTGATTCGGTTGGATTGAACGCAAAAAATATATATATAGAATAATACCTTCGCTTCAACAGGGTCTGACAAGGATTCGGTAGTGCAAATAGGGAAAAATAAAAGTAAAAAACGTAAGAACACACATTGTCTGACGAACTTTTGAATAAATACCTAAACCAGCTTGGCGTTAACATACCTATAAAACTATTTAAAATCTTTGCAGCTTTTCGGCATTCGCCTATAATTAAAATAGCAAAAATTCAGAACTGCATGTTCTCCGGTAAGTAGCCTTCCAAATATATTAATCATACCAGCAAGATCGGTCGGTAATGGAGAGTTAACCATGGCTTTTTCAACTATTTTTTATTTACAGTTTTTTGCCCTCGTGGGGGCTGTATTATATATATTTATCCATTTCGTGATTGACGTCATATCGCTCGGCATTTGGGGGTGGCTTGTAACGATAACTACATTAGGAATCTGCCAAGCATAGATCCATATATAGATTGCGGTACTGCGTGCCCGAATTATTCTATTTTCACGGGAAAAAACGTACCGACCACAAGTCAAGCAATCTTGCATATAACATGCAAAAAAGCAGAAACAGCGCCAACAGACAATTAATTGCATTTAATGAAACTGTGGTGCATACATACATACACATATGATATTCCCGTGTGATATATATAAATTTCATTTAACTATGGGTACATAATTACTATTTTTGTCTACAGCTTCTCGATGCCACAATTATATGATAATAACGGTATCACACAAGTCCCTTACATTAACCGTTGAAGGTACAAGTATTAAAAAATGAGCCAATACAAGGCACGACTTGAAGAAAGGCTGGCCTGGCCTGTTGAATGTGTTGACGGGTAATTATATTAGCACTACTCTTTACAGTACAACATGATTAATTCCGCCACTGTAACCCAAATAATCTGTCTGTCGCATTAGTATTAGTAAAAAGTGAGTACCCGGTTACGCCTTTTCCTCAAACCTAATATGGATTATTGTGTTACATGTATATAACAAAGTCTCTGTTAGTAAACAAAGTCCCCAACGGTTACGTTCGAATCGTGAAGCGATTAATGCACCCAAGAATAGCATTTCAGTTAAAGAGGTTATGCAGCTTGAAGATTAAACATTGGTTGAATGTAAGAATAGTTTTGTTCGTCCAAGATTACAAAAATTCCTACTTTTAAACACAAAGAACTTGGTGTAATAAACTAATGTGCATAAGTTAACACAATTACGTAAAAGTCTATGAGCTGTCCCAAGCCACAATAACAGTTCAAACACGAGTCGTCTTATTAATTCGCAGTACTCGATAAATTATCAGCATTGGAACGGCAAGAAGATTTTTACCCTCTGGTAAATTTGCAGCCATCTGAGCTTTTTAATTTTTATAACGCCTGTCTTCGAATTTTTTTGTTTTGTGTTTAATAAAAAATATATGTTGGCAGATAAGACTTTCTTGGCATTTGAATAGTCAGTGTCCACAGACAAATTTGATTTTTTTTTGACTTGTATTAATTTGTCGTCTAATCTAGTCACGGTAATTAGATGGGCCGTGTTAGCGATGCAATTGAATTCAAATTGTAACGTTTCTCGACATGATATTCCATTTGAAGGCACGCTACCCGGTGTAGTGTTTTCAAATAACAAATTGTTGATGAAATTAATAATGTAATGTGATACTTTAGGTGCATTGGTTTAAATGCAGAGTTACTCACCTAGTTTTACATTATCATTGATAATCACATTTACAAAATAATATCAGCAAAGTTAATATCAAATCGTCAAAATAATGAAACAAGCAAATTCATTTAATGCTGCCTTGAAAGTCTATCAACGTTTTTCGACGTATCTAATCATAGTACTCGTCGCACAATGAGTCGCCATTTTACTCAAAATTCACGTCATGTGATTTGATAATCTGTTTTTCCATTTGTTCAATATGATTGGTCAAAACCGTAGAATAAAATGAGTTTGGAGAAATTTTTTTTTTTCTCAGTACTCAACTGGGGTTCGATTATTGTAAGTAAATCGCATAACTCTCAATCGGTTTACTTCTACACAAACTCCTTGAACAAATTGACTCATTAGCTGGAGTTTAGGATAATCTTCTCCGAGGAGAATGATCATGAAACAAATTCCTTACCAGTGAGCCGACATCAGTCATTAGCGGGGGGAGGGGGGAGAGGAGAGGATGATCTGTAAAGTCTCATAAAAACATGTTTATTCATCCAATAAAAAATCTACAGACGAAACAGTTTTTGAAATATTCACGCGTATATTTGAAAAAGCTTTAGAAAAAATTGTAGAAAATGTCATTGGCAAGGTTACCGCCGATAAAATTTTCCCCAGAAATCAATGGATACTTTCTGAAATACTATACTCAATCAAAGTGGCAGATCATTTGTGATGCGTTATCTACTACACCGACCATGTCATTTATGCGTATCATTTATAACTCACGAGAAGAAGTACAACAAGTGGTCCAAAGCTTTGTAAATGAGGTAGATTTACACGTATTCCAGAGTCCTTTCCCGCATAAAATCATAAAACATGCTGTTATCGGAAATTGACAATTATCAATCTCGAAGCAATGTAAAGATAAGCAATGGCCGTTAACCATGAAAGTTACTCAGCATTCAATTCTTCCTGACGTCCTATGTATCCCAGTAGAGGGTCCATTCGACATCAAGCAATGCGAGAAACAAGTCGTAGTTGACATTTTTGCTGGCACTGCCATACTTCGCGGAGCCGATATTTTTGCAGTAAGTTGAAAGTGACGTGAATTGTAGACGAATGACATGGATAAAATGTACCAATGATACCAAACGTGTTAGTGCTCTTATTACAGCCAGGTGTATTAGCCGTTCAAAGTGGTAAGGAACAAAAAAAAATGGGGGAGTTTTTTTTTTTTTTTGAGATCCAGAAACTGATGAATACGAATCTCTAAATCTACAAGTCGAGAAGGGAGAACAAGTCTCGGTTATGGTAACGAATCTAAAGCGTTTTTTCATGGCGTAACATGCAAACCCGGTTTTCATTGTTAATTCTAAAAAGGTTGATATTGATGGAAGCTGCAAACGCGGTTCTCTCAAAGAGTACAAAGGATCCAAGATCTTTATTGGAAACGGCCGAATGGAAATGGTGAATCGATTTAAAGCATTAACCCATATCCCACGTTGCCAAAAAATTTATCACCCTGCTTACTCACGCTTTGACACTCGTTTTTTCGACAGAGCCGCGCACATATATTCCAATCGAATCCATTAGAATTATCAGGCATAGGCGTCACGATGACTTTTCCACTATATCGTACTCCATCCCTCTCGACAAATCCTCGATTGTCTTGTCTGGTGTTCTTACAGAATCTGCCGAGCATTCTGACAACGCATTTGCTATCTCCGCAACCGGGTGATTTGGTATTAGACATGTGCGCATCACCGGGTGGAAAGACAACTCATATTGCACGGTTGCTACAAAATAATGGCATGGTCATCGCGTTGGATAGATCAGTAAAGAAGG